GAGAGTACAGCAAAATAAAGGAGTACTGATAACAGAGGACTTAAAATTAGAGTTGAACAAATGGAATTATAGATGTAATAGTTGATTCTGGAACATGGCTGTTATTTGAGAGACTCTACATGATGTAGCCAGAGGAACATAGTGAAGGATAACTTTTTGACATAAATGAGGAAAGTGTTGTGATGAATATGACAGATATCCCAGAGGTAACACCAGCAAAAAAAGCTCCACAGTAGAAGAACTTTTGGAACTATTTCATGACATTGACAGTACAAAGGATAAAATGTTCAAAGTCTATCCAGACTTGGAAAGGAGTTTGACAATTTGCCAAAGCTTACAAAATATGCTTGCTCAGTATGTTAATTTATACAAGAAGGCCAGCTCTATTCAAACTACTATTTGTAATTTTTTTAAAGAAATGATACTTTCTCAATGTTTTTAATGTTTTAAATTACACTGTACTCTAAATATTAATTTAACTTTGTTTTTCATTTCCCTACACAGTTGTAACTGGCAGAATTTTTAACATTTTGACAAAAATTTTTAAAAGTCACAGAACATTTGTAGTTTTCCCCATAATTAATATTGCTTTGCATGGTTTCGTTTGGATGATCAGTTTTATGGTCCTCTAGTACCATGCCAAATGAGGATGGCCTGCGTATAAATGGTACCACTATTTTCTTTATGGATAAACATTTTATTTATGTATCCAAAATTTTAATTACTTGGGCCAAGTTCAGATATATAAATAACTTGAAATTTGTTTCTTTCCCATCTCTTAATATTTCTGATTTTGATTCTACTATGTCTATTGAATTTATTATTTAATCTGCTAAAAACAGAGTTTGTAAATTTTCTTATTGGCATACCTTAAGGAATATGTTCACATCAGTTTTTTTTTTTCAATATATTCATCCGATAAAAATTGTATGTTGTTATTTACTGGACTTTTTTTTATTCTTCCTATGTGAGTATAGAAAAGAGTGACCCAAATAATATTTCCAAAAGACTATAATATAAACTGATTTTTAAAAATAAAATGTTAGGTCCCTAGACTGTAGCTATGCCAAAATTTAAATGTAGGCATTTTTCCCAGGAACTTATTCCCTTTGCTTTCAAAAACTTTACAGACTGGTGTTAAAGTGGAAAATAAATAAGGAGTCTAGTCACAGATACAGGAAATAAATGGAGGCCTTTCTACGATAGTGGTAATAATTCCAGTGTATTAAAGATATAATAATATCACATTAAAAAGTAGCAAAGACATTCTTTGTCCTACTTATTTACCTTTCATTTTAACATTGAGAGAATTGAGATGTAATATAAGATACTTAGAATATGTTTTTGGGTTGCCTTGGTAGCTCAGTCGATTGAGTGTCCAACTCTTGATCTGGGCTTGGGTCATGATCTCAGGGTCACGAGATGGAGCTCTGCATCAGGCTCCGTGCTCAGCAGACAGTCTCCTTGAGATTCTCTGCCCACCCCCGCAGCCTCTCTGTCTTTCTCTGTCTCAAACAAATAAATAAATAAATCTTAAAAGAAAAAAAAAAGAACTAGAATCTCTTATCTACTCAAGTAACTCAAATCCATTCAAGTCTTTCTATCAGTTCATTCATACATCCAAGTCTCATCATAAATTAATTAATGGGCACTTCCTGTGAGCCAGGAACTGTTCTAAACACTGAGGATACCACATTGAATAAAATAAAGAACTTCAATTAAAACTCTGAAGGAGCTTATATACCATCTCTTACTCTACCTCTAAAATCTGATTTATAATTATCTTTCACTGTACTATAAAAGTTTCCACCTGACCCATTCTCTTCCATTCTACACATCTCAGAGTCTCTATCTTTATTTTATATCATATGCCTGAATCTGTTTTTTCTCTGATATATACATCAGTCTTATTTAAATTCTTCCTATGCCTCTAAACCCACAGTAACTCATGAATATGCCTTTGTTTTTCATTCAATGAAAGCTAAATTAAAGAAAAAAAGAAAAAGTACTGACTTTCTTATAGACCCGAGTAACCACAGAATGCTAACAATAAAAGGAAATTCAGCACCCCCCCCTACTGCTAAGTACCTGAATTTTTCTTTCTTTTCTTCTTAAAAAATAGTTTAACCTAATTAAAAAAAGGATTTGACTCACCTGACTTGTTCCCATTCAGGCAAAGCTCTTTACTCCAAGTGACTTCATTGGCTACTGGTCAGACTTCATATTGGTCTCCTTTAGATCACGTGTTGGGTTCTGTGGCTGAGATGGAGTAGGAATGAGATCATGAAGGAAAGATCATGACTATTGCTGCCCCTTTATTAAAGTCTCTGGATATGGGACAAACCCTTCAAAGGAAATTGTACATACAGAAGATACCATGTTTAACATGTCTAGTCGACCATTAAAAGAAGTTGTACCTCCACTGCATTCTGTTTCATCATGGGCTAGATGAGAGAAGAAACTCTGGTCAGAAAAACAGCTGGTAGCCAAAGAAAGGGAAGCATGTGGTTAGACTCAAGTATTCACAGAAATAAACATAAATAAGTAAATAAATAAATGCATACTTTAAAAAAAAAGGAAAAGGAAATAGGCTTATGACAGAACTTTCTATACCAATGTGCCTCTTACCCTGGCTCCTTGTTCCTCATCTTCTTCCTGACACTCCTCAGGAGCTTCTTAGCCCCTACCTTCCTAGAGCTGCTATACCACCCTAGGGAGCCACCATCACTGCCTTAATGCTAAAGACATTTCTTATGTTCTATTATAAAAAGTGAAGAAACTTAGCTCTGATAATATTTTTACTTGTGGAATCTCACGTAACACTTGAACAACTGAGAACAATATGTCTCGTGCTTTGTAATTAGGGTGATATTTAGCTGTCTCAAAAAAACTATAAACTCAGAGCAAAATTGAGTCAAACATTGGGTCTATTAGATGCTGTTGGTAAATGAGTGATTTTGATAACACCATGTTTATGAGATATATAATTCTTTTGATTGATTTGTCTTGGTGATCTATAATTAATGTTTGTGTTTATTGATGAGAATGAGTCTATATTTGAAAACTACATGCATCTAGAATAAGTAGAAGGACAAAATATTCAATTCTTGATAAATGTCAAACTGACATGATTCTACCTTGCTACCTGTATCACTTTGGTCAAATTGTTTAATTCTTAGAACTGTTTTCTTATCTGTAAAGATGGGGGAAAAAACTCCTTTGTAGGATTGCCATTGAATCAATGGAAGTATTTGGAAATGGCTGGTACATCATCTGGCACATAGTAGCTCAATGAAGTTCCTTTCTTCCCTTTCCCCCTTCTTTTTTCCCCTCCTTCTTGCTCATGACCACTTCTCTGTTCTCTTTCTAATAGTCTAAACACAAAAGGTCCAAGCTCCCACAGGACAGGCCTTTTCCTCTGCCCTCTTGTTTTTTTCCTTTTGTTACCTCATTGTGACTAATACGCTTACATACAATAGAGAGGTAACAAAAAAAATTAGTCTCTAGCCTTGTTTTCTTAGTTTTTCCTGTCTTTTCTCTGGTTCCCAAGAGATCTGTTTACTTCAGCATTTTATTGTTACTTTAAGTTTAATATCTCAGAAGCTGCTTAAATCACTTTTTTATTTTTCAAATAGACACCTCTTATAATTTCCTCATTGTCTAGACAAAGCGTTACTTTCTTCTTTAATTCATTAATACAAGTTGATAAAGCCCTCAGTGATTAATCCTGAATGACTCTTTAACTCCATTATTCTATATCCTGTAATTCTAAAAACTTACCATCAGTTGGCAGTACATTAATTTCAAGTTTTTGTATTTGTGAGCTCAAATTATTTCAGTTTTTTAGTTAGAATTTTCTTAAAATCCTATGAGGTACTCTCTGTATTTTGCTAGATTTATTTATTTATTTGAGAAAAAGAAAGTACACACACATGTGCATACACATACTCTTGCTTGAGGGAGAGGGAAGAGGAAGAAAAGCAGTCTCCCATCTGAATGCAGAGGCCTATGCATGGCTCCATCTCAAGACCCTGAGATCATGACCTGAGCTAAAATCAAGAGTCAGATGCTTAACCGACTGAGCCACAAAAGACCCAGAAGTTCTATGAGGCTCCACAGAAAAGAACTTTTTCTTTCTTTTTTTTTTTTAAATATGTCTAAACCTAGTAAACCATAGATTGATTTACTGATTGTTGATTAGAGCTATACCAATTTGACTCCTAAGTGTTCCTTTCTTTCCTCCTGTTCTTTTGTTCCACTTCTTTTATCTTGCTCAAAGACCTTTCTAGAAGAAAAAGGATATTATCTATATTATATCTTTGGGCATTAGTAATGAGATTAAAGATTTGATTTGAGTTCTAGTATATGGAAAAAATTTTTTGATACTAATTTTTTAGCCCTATAAAACCCCTTTTTTCATAGGATCTATGAGCAACCTCTTTGATTTTTTTTAGGTCATGTATGGAGTGTGATAACAATGTTTTGGATTAGAGAAACTGCCAGATTATGGTCCAGTTTTTCAGTAATTACCAATAGATTACTTCCGAGGGTATTTTGCTTCAGTGTTAATAAAGTAAAGATGACTTGATAGAGCCTGGTGTTGGTCTCTATGCTGGGCATGGAGACTGCTTAAGATTCCCTCTCTCCCTCTCCCTCTCCCTCCTACCCTACCCGCTTCTCCAAAAATAAATAATAGATAAATAATAAACTAAAATCAGCCTTTAAAAAGCTTCGATAAGATTTAATAGATCCATTGCTGGATACCAGCTTTATATAGAAGATGCTGTTTTAATTCTCTATTTAATACTATGCTGCCATTTTTGTTGATAGTAACAAATAATTCAATTACTCATAATAAAAAAATAAATAAGAAATAAATTATAAAAAGCCATTGATGAGGAAACCAAAAGTTGGGATAAAAAAGCACTTAGAACCTTTGTTTAGTTTTAGGCTTGTATGAGCTTACGGTTCATAGCATGTCTTCACCTTTAACCTTGCAGGGACTCAAAGGCTATCCAGGGCTCCCCGGACTCCAAGGTGAACCAGTAAGTACTTCATTTATAAAACTTGTATCTTCTCCAATAAAAATGACACACATTGGTGAACTCCACTGAGAGATTATTTTCCCCTACTTATTAAGATCTTCTCCTCAATGATTTTTACTCTGTTTAGTGCAGGACAGACTTTTTCAGTTGCTCATGTTATAGTTTTGTTTTTGTTTTTTTCCCCAGATCCTTGACTGACTTTAACTATCTGCGTAACATGTTCCAGAACAGCAGTTCTTAAACGTTTGAGGTTCACAAACCCCTTTAAGAATGTTGTAAAGGCTATGAGCTCTTTCCCAAGAAAACACACATTTTCACACACATGCATGCACACACGCACACACACATTTGATTTATTTTTATTTTTTGTTTTCATTTTTTCTTTCACACATTTGACTTTTTTTTTAAAGATTTTATTTATTTGAGAGAGACAGAGAGAAAGTGCATGCACACACATGAGTGGGAGGGAGGGGCAGAGGGAGAGGGAGAAGTAGATTTCCCACTAAGCAGGGAGCCCGATGTTGGGCTTTATCTCAGGACCCCGGCATCATGACCTGAGCAGAAGGCAGACGCTTAACCAGGCAGATACTTACTAAGTCACCCAGGTGCCCCACACGTTTGATTTTTTATACAGTTTCAGGAGTTTGCCTATTTACAAAAGCCTACTCATAACTGTTAATTTCCTGACTTTTGCATAAGGGAATGTAAATAAATTTTAATAAAAATCCAAATTAGAATAGGACATATGTTATTGTCCATTATACACATACACACATATTTAAAAGTCAGAATAGTTTGGGAACTATTTAATTTTTAATCATGTTATTCTTTCTCTCTCCCATCAGAAAATAATATATGTCATAGGAAAAAAAAATAAAGCCATATCTCTTGTTTTCAATGTAATGTGTACTAGGTCAGTATAAATAAAGCAGTGAAATGGGTAAGAGATAAGGAACTAACTAGGGTGATGGACACCATTATTGGAGATTGAGCAAAGAGCCTCAGGAAGCCCTAAAGAGAGCTCCAGAAAGAAATGTGATAGAATGTCCCCGAGGAAAGATATAAATGAAATGAAGTTAATTTTCTCTTTCATTCATGTTAAGTGGGACAGTACATTCTGTTCAGTCCTGAGGCACAATTTCTCAAGATTATTAATTACTAGAAATGGCAAGTAAAGTGATATATTATATTATATTATTATTCCACTTTACTAATTCTACGTGGTAGCAGTGCTGGGATTCTCAGTGAAGTCTGATTGTCTCAGAGTGTGTGCTTTTAATGCTTCGTGTTAGAAGTGGGATTGGGGCAGGTTTCCTATTCCTAATTTCTCCAGGGTCTAGAGATAGATCTTTGTGTCTAAATTGCTCCAATCTATAGATTTAAGTGGGCCAACTTTTTTGTTTTTAACCATTTTGAAGTGCATAGTGAATTTTAAGTTGTAGTGTTTGCTTTGAGTTTCTTTTGAGCTTCTGTGGTTGTCACAGTGATTTTAGGGTGTGGTTGGCTTAGACATGTTTATGCCATAGAAGACTGCTGAAGGCTTACTTGTTTACTTTGTTTACTGCCATTCCAGGAGAGCAGAATTTAGCCATCCCCCGGAATTCTTTTTGTATTTCTCTTCGCAGCTGGAATGTGTTAGATCTCTACATGTTGCCCTAATACCCTCCATGAAAATCCATTCAAAATGAGATTTCCTTTATGTCTTAAAACAGATTGCTTTTTAATAGAGCTCAATTAATCTAATTTGCCTAGGAGAAGAATGAAAGAGGTGGTGGTTGGCCTTAGCCAGACAGTGACCTACAGAACAAAAACAGCCCTTTTAATTGGTTTCACTGCTTCCTATTGGCATACCCAAATACAAGATTTTGTGAATGTCTGGATATAGTCCTATGTATTTTAGAATTGGATGAGGCATAAAGGAAGCTGTTGTAAATAGATTGGAGCAAATCTCATAATTAGAGGGCTTTCCCTAGAGTACTATTGGAAGTTACGTTCACTTCAGAACTACACTAGAGAAGCAGCCTTGGATGGTCTTCTCTGGAATTAGACCTGCTGATTCAAATCCTGGCTTCCCACATACTAGCTGAGTGACTTTCTGCTGGTGACAGACACTGTATGTCTCATGTTTTAATCTGTAAAATAGGGATAATGATACCTACCTTATAGGGTTTAGACAGATTTAAATAAGATAATACTTATAAAATACTTGAAATAGTGCCTGGCATATGACAGGAGCTAAATGAATATTATGGGAATATAATATTATATATTATACATTATTTTAATAAGTTAATATTTAATATAGAAATATGGTTTCTGAAATTCATAGGATAAATCTCTCCATATGTAGATAAGAATTTTGTTCTGTACTTCTCAGAAAGCCACTGTTTTATTTACATTCTGTTAAATTATCCATTGTCATATATATATATATATATGTATATACACACACACACACACTCATCTACATATATATATATATATATATATAGATGAATGTTTATATGTATATAGGGTACATATATGTGTATGTATGTGTGTGTGCATGACATGACAACTTTCGTCAGATTGTCTGAGTTCTGAGTTCATATTCGGGCTCTGCTACTTACTCACTGTGGCATCTCGGGCAAGTTTCATAACTTCTCTGTATCTTACTTTCTTCAAATGTAGAATAGAGAAAATAGTATCTGTCTCATAGACATAAAGTTAATGTAATGTGCTTATCATAGTGAGTAGCACATAAAAAGGACTCAGTAAATGTTAATTGTTGGAGGAAGTGGGAGAGGAGGGAGAGATAAGAAAACAAAATTGAGAGAGAGTCTGAGAAAAGTGGAGATAAAGATATATTAGGAGCCTACATGTCTAATAAAATGGGAGGGCAAAAATGTTCATCTGTGATCCTCCAATTGCTTTTCCTTTGTCTGTTCTTTCTATAGATTTTCCAAATTTTTAGGAATTTAATAGTATTTCTGTACTTAAACTGAAGGTAGCACTCTCTGTGTGTTTCAGAGCAAAAGGGAAAAGGGCTAGTGTCTTTTATCTCTCACAAACAATAAGAAGGAAATGAATTTTACATAATAAATAAGTAATCCATGAAATTTACCTTTGCTGGCACCATCTAAGTTTAAGTAAAGGCAGTTCAGCATACATTCTTTTGGCATTTCCTTGGTTCAATGATTATTTAATAGACCTAAACTCTGGATACACTAATGAATGAATGAATAATTTATCAATGAAGGAAAGTAAAAACAAAGTGGAAGTATTTCTTCTCACTTGACCACCCAGTTGTATAGCAAGTTTCCTTTCTTATGCCTTTGAGTCTCCGTTCTTCAGCAAAAATTAAAATTTTTAATTTTAAAATTAAAAATACAAATTTGTCAACTTAAAATGACTTTACCACCCAAAGTTAGTTTGAATTTTTAGATAGATCTGTGTCATGATAAAAGTACTTACCACTCAATATCCGTTTTCTTTTTTTTTTTTTTTAAGATTTTATTTATTTATTTGACAGAGAGAGATCACAAGTAGGCAGAGAGGCAGGCAGAGAGAGAGAGAAGCAGGCTCCCCGCTGAGCTGAGAGCCCGATGCGGGGCTCGATCCCAGGACCCTGGGATCAGGGCCTGAGCTGAAGGCAGAGGCTTTAACCCACTGAGCCACCCAGGCGCCCCTCGATATCCGTTTCTTAATCAGAATGAGTTTACTTTAGGAAGGAAGAAGAGGTTGGTTCTGAGGTTCCCTGCCCCTTTTAATCTTCTGAGGGTCATGCTTAGACATTTAAGGAGAGTTGCAAGATGATTGAAATAAGAAGGAATTCAATATAAAAAGATAATGCTTATTAAGAAATGTACCCACTCTTTTTCTAGAATAAATATCTTCTTTATGTAGTGCTGGATTTTTCCATCCTAGATTTTACCATTATTAATAGTCAGTGTCTCATTTAGAGCCCCTAATCGGACAGTTTTAATTTTTTTATTTAATAATTTTGGCTCATTTCTGTTTGAAATAGGTGAAAACAGTCAGAGAAACAATGTGCAGTCCCCTTAGTACTTTTGTAGGGAAAAATTTCTTTATAAATTTGTGTATTATAGTTGTGTCAAATTTGTTTCCTTGGGCTTCTTTTGGTTTTGTTGTATTGTTCTATTTATTTCATTTTTTATTTCAGGGAATTCCAGGATTCACTGGTAATATTGGTGTACGTGGTTACCCTGGCAGGCAGGTGAGGTAACTAAATTTATACTTCTCCTTTTATGTTCCTTTTCATTAATGCATTGTATGCTCTGATTTTCAAGGTTAATGTTTAAATAATAATTTTATTTCTATTAAAAAATGAATTACTCATGGCAAATAATTTCAAAATTAAAATTATAAAAATCCTTAAAAAATGTTACTGTAGAAAGTTTTGGTTAAAATGGGAGTGGGGTTTTTAAACATGTGTGATGTGATACAGTGGAAACTTCAAAATTAAAATGCCCAAGGGTCTCATAAGATTTTAAAATGAACCCGCTACTGATTTTCCAATACTGCCACTCACTGTAATGAAGTAATGGTAGACGTTAAGACTGTATAACAAGCATTATTTTTTAATAGCAGAGTTATAAAAATATGAGACACAGTTTGGCAGCGCTATGTGTACCACTACCAAATACTTTTATGCGAAATGAATTCAAGTCTTTCTATACAGTTTTGAAAATTCATTCTAAACATTTCATATTTATTCTCCTCTCATTTATAACTTTATCTATTTCTTATAGATGAATAATAGAACAAATTTTCTTTCTGAGGTTTTCGTGAATTGAAGACTTACTCTTGAAATTAATTACTCATTTAGTATACTAGAAAACTATAGTTATAATATCTTTTTAATTCTCAAGGATGAGGGAAATGAAAATGCCAAAAAAAGTAACAAAATTCCATATTTTAGGCCTTTAAAAATTCTTGAAGAGTAACGTGCATTAGAATCTTACCACTAAGTGATAATTTGTGTTGTCTGAAGCATATATAAATACTCAAGCATATGGACATTGATCTGAAATTAAAAGTGTGTTGATTTTTTTTAATTATGGGAATATATTTTATATGAGTTAGAAGTGTTTTCAAAGAACATGGTTTTCCAATGAGAAATGGATTAAGGTTTATTTTTTGTATCTTATAATGTGTGTTAATTTACTTTGCGTAGATATCTAAAACACATTTTTGCATAGATTACATATAATACCTCTTTTGATTCTGAAATTCTAAAAATTCCTTGAACATATATAATCTTAATTGTACTTAGCTTTGAATTTTATACTTGTGACAATGACACCTCTTTGTATGCCTATTTTATTTATCAGCAGTGCTTTCAGAATACTGTAGTATGATAATGATGTCTTTTGTTCACACTAGGGTTTAGCTGGACCAGAAGGTAACCCAGGCCCTAAAGGTGTACGAGTAAGTAAGCATTTTTATCATCTTGTAAGCATGTTTGCATAAAAGTCAAATGGAGTATGTAAAATAGATACCATTTTCATACTTCCATAGGAAGTTTGAATGTAACGCCAGTTTAGCCTGAAAAGAAATATATTTGTTTAATAGATACTTTCACTGTTAACAGCCACAGAAAGCAGTCTTATAGCAGTAGGTTTTTCCTCACTCTTTTCTAATACTTTCTGGCTGCTAGCTTAATGTCTGTTATGTTAGAATGGACTCTATCAACATTGGTAGTATAATTTATGTATGAACGTATATAGACATAAGAAATCATGATAAAAAACATGAGGCAAAAAAATCATAGTAATTTCAAGGCTGAGATAATATGATATAAAAACTATATGGAGTAGAAAAGATTTTATCTGCAAAGAAGGAAGTAAGCTTATCATATCAAGAACATACCATTGCACTTTAAACCACTAAAGAATTTAGTCACTTTTAATCATTAAGGGAGTGAAAAAAAATTCCTGTGATATCTTATGTAGTGTGCTACAAATTAAAATCAAAGCTGGTCTAGGAAAAATTAGAGAAAGTAAACTGGAATTTTTGTTTTTAAAATGCTCTACTTTTAATAGCAAGTTATCTTCCAGAATCTACGTCTATGCCTTATATTATCTAAATTCCTTTTTTGAGGGGCGCCTAGGAGGCTCAGTTGGTTAAGTATCTAATTCTTGATTTCAGCTCAGGTCATGATCTCAGGGTGGTGAGATGGAGCCTCGTGTTGAGCTCCATGCTGGGTGTGGAGCCTGCTGAAAATTCTTTCTCTTCCTCTCCCTCTGCCCCATCCCTCTCTCTCTTAAAAAATACAGATAAATAAAAAATGAAATACCTTTTTCAAATAAAGCATAAAGTATTTAAACAGTATGTGCTATAACGATGCTTTAAATTTTAAAAATTTCTAAGTAATACTTTCATATGTATTTTCTTTTTTTATTTTGCTATCAATCCTGTGAAATAATTTTACAGATGAGAAAATGGCAAGCTAAGGAATTTACACAAGTTGGCAAAGTCCTATCTGGCCAAAGAACCAAAATCTTCTTCTTCTTTTTTTTTTTAAATATAATAATCTTTTTTTTTTTTTTAATTTCTTTTCAGTGTACCAGAACTCATTGTTTATGTACCACACCCAGTGTTCCATGCAATACGTCCCCTCCATAATACCCACCACCAGGCTCACCCAACCTCTCACCCCCTGCCCCTTCAAAACCCTCAGATTTTTTTTCAGAGTCCATAGTCTCTCATGGTTCATCTCCCCTTCCAATTTCCCCCAACTGCCTTTTCTTCTCCATCTCCCCATGTCCTCCATGTTATTTCTTATGCTCCACAAATAAGTGAAACCATATGATAATTGACTCTCTCTGCTTGACTTATTTCACTCAGCATAATCTCTTCCAGTCCCGTCTGTGTTGATACAAAAGTTGGGTATTCATCCTTTCTGATGGAGGCATAATACTCCATAGTGTATATGGACCACATCTTCCTTATCCATTCGTCCGTGGAAGGGCATCTTGGTTCTTTCCACAGTTTGGCGACTGTGGCCATTTCTGCTATAAACATTGGGGTACAGATGGCCCTTCTTTTCACTACATCTGTATCTTTGGGGTAAATACCCAGTAGTGCAATTGCAGGGTCATAGGGAAGCTCTATTTTTAATTTCTTAAGGAATCTCCACACTGTTTTCCAAAGTGGCTGTACCAACTTGCATTCCCACCAACAGTGTAAGAGGATTCCCCTTTCTCCACATCCTCTCCAACACACATTATTTACTGTCTTCTTATTTTGTAAGGTGGTATCTCAATGTGGTGTTTTTTTTTTGTATTCTTTAGTGTTTTATTTTTTGTTTTATTTTTCTTTTTTAACTTTTTATTATTATTATTTTTAAATTTCTTTTCAGCGTAACAGTATTCATTGTTTTTGCACCGCACCCAGTGCTCCATGCAATCTGTGCCCTCTCTAATACCCAACACCTAGAACCAAAATCTTCTTACCTCTAGCTATGTACTCTTTCCTCTATCCTATACTGTCTCTACCCTTCTATTAAGTAAGAATATAGTGGGAAAAAGTCATGTATTTTTTTTTTATTAGAAAGTGTACCAAAAGCACATATTGACTTGGATCTGTGAAGTAGAGAATAGTGGTCAAGAACCTGGGCTTTGGAGTTAGGCCTGCTTTTTTCCCTTCATTTAAAAAATCTTATTAGATAGTGGTAGCGAAACTTACCTTTAAGGTAGTTACAATAACTGCCAGAGCTTAACATTCTTAAACCATAGTGTCTAGCATAGACAATCCATTTTCTATGAAGACTTTAATCATTTTATTGGAATTTTGGAGTATTTTCTGTGCATGAACTTGGAACTCCAAGACATGTTATTTGGTACCATGCAGTTTTCCCTTACTGTATTTTCTCATCTTGCTTCAGTGATTCCCAGAATTTTTCTAAGTTCTTCTTTATACCATTATATTACACATCCTTATGTACTGTATCATATATCCTTTTGTTGCTTTTTTCCTCACTTGTATAGAAACTGTTTTCTGGGTTGTAACTATTTTTAGGATGGGTTTTTAGATTTTGACAGCCATCTTCATAAAAGCAGTTAAAAAATAACAAATATAATTTATTTTCTGATTGATTCAATTGATTTAATTCTTTAATTTTCCTTTGGGAATACAGGGGGATTCAGGAAGGCCATTTCTATAGTCTTCACATTCACAGAGGGTCTCAAATGTGGACTTTTTTTTTAAAGTTTTTGTTTTTTGTTTTTTTTTTTTTGACAGAGAGAGAGATCACAAGTAGGCAGAGAGGCAGGCAGAGAGAGAGAGGGGGAAGTAGGCTCCCCGCTCAGCAGAGAGCCCAATGCGGGGCTCTATCCCGGCACCCTGAGATCATGACCTGAGCTGAAGGCAGAGGCTTAACCCACTGAGCCACCCAGGTGCCCCACAAATGTAGACTTTTAACATTAACTTCAAATCCACATTTGATTAAAAAGACAAAAATTACAAAAACACACTGACAGGATTATAAGATGTTTTTCATTAGATTTGTGTCCCATATACTACCACTATAAATTAATATTTTTATAAATCATGTTGGTAAATGATCTTTTGACTGGCAGCCATTATTTGATTCCATTTTTTGGTGTTATGATATTACTTCTAAGTGCATTTTTTTTAAGATTGTATTTATTTGAGACAGAAAGAGAAAGTGCAAGCATGAGTGAGGTAGGGGGGTGCAAAAGGGAAGTAGAAGCAAACTTTTCACTGAGTACGGAGCTGGATGTGGGGCTTGATCCCAGGACCCTGGGATCATGACCTGAGCCATAGGTAAATGCTTAACTGACCGAACCACCTAGGTCCTCTGATACTACTTTTATGTTAAATGTATATTTTGTAACCCTCTTTTGGCATTTCTTTGTGTAATTATATGCTCAGTGCCTCAAAAAGTAGAAGTGTGTAGGGCCTCTTCTGACTTTTTAGTGGCCCTCCTGATGACACAAAATTGCATCTAACTGGATATACAACCTTCAGTCTAAAATTAAAAAGCATATATGTTATTATTTTTTTATTGTTCTTGTTTCATTACACATTAAACTCTAGTTTAGGGGTCGTGCCTGAGAATGACCACAACCCCATGTGATTTCATAGTGGGTGCTGCTGGCATTTTATTTCTGTTAGCATGAGCATAATAATTATTAAGAAACCTTTATGAAACACCTGTGTGATCACTCATTAAAATCTTTAATTGTAAAATGTCTTTGCACCCTAGTCAGGCTATGTTGAGTAGAGGTCTTTCTTCTGAGGTCTCAGCTGATTAGTGCAGCAATAAGTGTGTGCCAGTTAGGCTGTCTATTCTTTTTATTTATAAGCAAAAATTCAGTTGTATATGTTATACAAAACATATACAAAACAAACAAACAAAACAAAAGTTAAGGCTTTTTAAACTTGAGGCTAACTGTAGCTGGTGATTCTGAAAATACATAGAGCTTGTCATCATAATCCTAAATGTTTTGATATCAGAAATGTTTTTGGATGCTTCATTTTATAAGAAACTTTTCAAATCCTCCACATGCTTGGCTTTTAAGCAAACAAATTATAATGCTTTACTTACTATTTAAGTAGAAGGAAACTAGTTTTCTCTTTTTAAAAAATTCTTGCTTGTTCATACAAACTCTGGAATGTAGGGAATTTTAAAGGTGTTTTTCTTTGTCAAAGAAAAGTGCTGCTCTCACCAAGGCAACACCCAACTAGCTTTCACTCAGAGATTAAATCCCTCCCAAGGTTCTATTCCAGGCAAAACAGAAATGATTCCTGAGATATTCTGATGATGTGTAAGTCAGTAAGAAAAAAAAATGTAAAATCTACGTAACATAAAAATTTCCATTTTATCCATTTTTAAGAATACAGTTTAATGGTCTTAGTCTGGGCTGCAGTATAGAAATACTACAGACTGGATGGTTTAAATGACAAATTTTGTGTCTCAAAGTTCTGGAGTCTGAGAAGTTCAAGATCAAGGGACCAGCAGATCCTGTATCTGATGACGGCCCACTTCATGGGCTATAGACAGTTGCCTTTCTACTGTATCCTCACATAGCTGAAATAGCAGTCACCTCTAATCCCATTCATGGGGGCTCTACCCTCATGACCTAACTACTTCCCAAAGGGCCCACCTCGAATACTGACAAACTGGGGACTACAGTTCAACATATTAATTCAGTCCATAGCAGGAGGCATGAAGTACATTCACATTGTTGTACAGCTATCACCACCATTCAGTTCCAGAACTTTCTATCTTCCCATACTGAAACTCCATACCCTTTAAAAAGTAACTCCTCATTCTTAGTTCCTCCCAACTTAAGGCAACCATTCTACTTTCTGTCTTGATTTCAAGGTCATGAGTTCAAGCCCCATACTGGGCTCTGCAGTGGGTGTGGAGCCTACTTAAAAAACAAAACAAAACAAAAAAAATCTATTCTGATGATGTGTAAGTCAGTTGAACGTGCTTGGCAGTATTGCATTGACAGTTTGAATTGGGATATCCTGGACCAACACTGTTTTAGTAATTTTCTCTGGATTTGCTCACAGTTTTTCTTTTACACATGTGAATGGATTTTATTTTTCTTTCTTTTTTAAATTTAAATTCAATTAATTAACATTTAGTGTATTATTAGTTTCGGAGGTAGAGTCCAGTGATTCATCAGCTTATTTAATGCCCCATGCTCATTACATCAAATGGCCTCCTTAATGTCCATCATCCAGTTACCCTATCCCCATCCACCTTTCCTCCAGCAACCCTGTTTGTTTCCTATGATTAGGAGTCTCATGTTTTTTCTCCTTCTCTGATTACATCTTGTTTTATTTTTTCCTCCCTTCCCTTATGATCCTCTGTTTTTTTCCTTAAATTACACATATGAGTGAAATCATATGATAATTATCTTTCTCTGACTTATTTTACTTAGCATAACACCCTCGAATTCTATCCATATCATTGCAAATGGCACAATTTCTTTCTTCTTCTTCTTTTTTTAATGGTATTCTACATAGTGGGCACTTAAGTAATGTTTTAGAATCAGTGATCTAGGCTCGTATTACTTCAAATTTGGACCATCAAAAGAACCTTCTAACAGGTTTTCCTACATTCATTGTTTCTTGTCTCAGATGTATTCTATATCCTGTCAATAGATTAATATTTGAGAAAGACAAATTAACCTCAAGGCACTACCACATTCCCTCAAGGCAGGAGCTTTCAGTTATCTAAAACATAAAGTCTAAAATTCTTATCTTGAAATTTAAAGGTCTCCTTAACGTAGTGTCCAAACTATCATACACTTTCTTTTAAATTGATGAAGATATTATTATTTGCCACAGAGATGTAACTTTATCCTAACATAAAGTACAGTTGCATTGTTATTTATCCCCTGTTGTCAGGCCAGTTGGAATCTTCTTTAGGATACAATGCATCTTTGCTCTTCTCCAAAGCATTTACTGGTATAATGTTATCTGTTACCATTTATTACCATTTACAAACACTTCGTGAAGTTCTCTGTTTCCACTTCGTATAATTGTTCTGCTTGGAGTTTCCTTTCTTCTCTCTCTCTCTCTTCTTAAAAAGATTTTATTTACTTATTTGACAGAGAGACACAGCAAGAGAGGGAACACAAGCAGGGGGAGTGGGAGAGGGAGAAGCAGGCTGAAATGCGGGCCTCGATCCCAGGACTCTGGGATCCTGACCTGAGTTGACTGAGCCATCCAGGCACCCCTGGAGTTTCCTTTTTCCATCCTCTGCTTTTCAGGACTTTACCTACTCTATATGCCTATCTTAAGTGCCAGTCTCTTATTAAGTCTTTTTTTTATTGCCTTTACCTCCTGCCACATTGGAATGAATTTCCTTTTCCTCTGTATTAAGTATCTTTTGATACTTCCATTCTGCCTTATATCTTAGTTAATTATATATTTTCTTCCCACTGTAAAATTCAACAAAGAAAAGGATTTGGTCTTGATTTTCATGGGTCACTGTCTTAAGTTATGGTCCCTACTTTTTCTTTTTTTTTTTAAGATTTTATTTATTTATTTGTCAGAGCGAAAGAGGGAGAGCGAGCGAGCACAGGCAGACGGAATGGCAGGCAGAGGCAGAAGGGAGAAGCAGGCTCCCTGCCAAGCAAGGAGTCTGATGTAGGACTCGATCCCAGGACGCTGGGACCATGACCTGGGCCGAAGGCAGCTGCTCAACCAACTGAGCCACCCAGGCGTCCCCCTACTTTTTTTTTTAATGAAAAGATTGATCTGTAATTTCTGGAAGGAAGGTGATAAAGCAAGGAGAAGTTATTTATTCTGTTAAGCCTTAAAGTTTCATATTATTATGAAAAAATTTATTATCTCTACTTGGAATTACTTGCAGAGTATGTATTCAAATGAAATAATATAAAGATTATTTGCTTACTTTAAGGGTTTCATTGGCTCTCTTGGAGAAGTAGGACAACTAGGACCTGAAGGAGAAAGAGTAAGTTCATTTCCTTCAAATATTATTTCTAAAGTGATATGCTAATGATAGTATTAGACAGGTAATCTTATGGAGTAAAGCAAGCCAGCTTTAAGAAAAATCACCTACGAGAAATATAATTAAACTCTATGGAATTTTACTGAATTTTATTTTAAGGAAGTAAGATGATACAAATGTATACAGTTAGCTATTTTAAATTTAATTAAAAAAACACAAATTGAAATATTAAAATAACAAAATTATATTTTATAATTCATTAATCTTTAAGCATAAATTCTTGACAGGTCTTAAATTTTATAGTATAGCACACAGTAATTAATTCACCCACAGAAGATATATTTTTTGTTTAATTTAATAATGGAAGGTAGTTCATAAGTGTAGGTATGGGAAAGGTACTTTTGAGTAAAGACAGGATCTTTGCAAAATGGTTGTTATCTTAAAACAGTTAATCAAACTAGGTACAGAGTTCTGGCATTCCAACTTCATCATGTCTGATTTTCAGTGTTGTATGCAATTCATTGGTTTCTATTTGTATTCCTTCATTTTACTGCCAGTATTCAATGAAAAAATAGAATCAAACAATATTAGGTTTGAAAATAGTCATATTCAGAATTTAGCATTCAACACTATTATTGTAGGTATGCTATTCAAACCAAAATTTTCATTTCTGGAAACTAGTTTTTGCAAGTAAAAGTAAACCAGATTATTCTTTGCTGGGTGAATTTTTCAAATGCATAGTGTGAGTGAATTATATCACATTTTTCTTGTAATCACTTGTGAATTTCCTGCCAGAGAAGAAATATTCAAAGTTTAAATGTGCTCTAGTGACAATCAAAATGTCCAGTCTTCTTTGGTGAGATGAGGTGAAGATTTTCCCTTGTTGAATATACAAGTCATTTCTTTCACTTGCAGAAATATCTTCAGTGGGATCCCACAACTAAGCTACTTAATTGCCATGTGATACAGCAGACTTACAGATCATGTTCCCAATCTGTCAAGCAAAGAATTGAACTGCTTCTCATTGACAAAAGGAATATATGCAGTTTACATTGTTATTACTCTGCTGCTCATGATATAGTACTTTCCTGACCTCATTTCTAGTTAATGATGTAATAAATAAAGCAAAATTATATGTCCTTGAAAATGTTATCATCTTGGATTTAAGGATCCCATCACTGACTATCATTAGATACATGCCTGTAATCATGATCATTAGTTTTGACCAGTCTAAGTGAAAATATTAAGACCTGTCTCAAATCATAAATGTAAGACCATTTTGTGATATTTTGGCTGTCATGGATAACATGTCCTAATATAATTTGGCTACTTCAAAATTTTGATTAAAACTGTGAATAATATAGCTAACTGGGTGTTTTTATTATGTTATAAAATGTATACATGCAGAGAAGAGATAAGAAGCATAGAGAAGAGAGAAGAAGAGTAGAGAAGAACAAAGAGAGTATAATGCTAATCACTCCTGGAAAAAAATAGAAAAATTCCTTCCTGGGAGTCAGTAATATACGTCTGTGTAAATATATGGCAAAGTGCTTATATAATTTTGTCTGTAATATCCTTAGGTTTCCTGCTGAGATTTAGTAGAGCTACTAGAGTTATAAAAATTAATTACCTTATTTTTTGAAAAAAGGTTTGCTATATTATGTAAAGATGTATAAAGTCTTAATGAAATGAGTCCTATTGCTTACCCATACATACTCTTCTGATAAGACATTAGATAAGTATTTATCAAACGCTGTTCAATTGAAAGTGGATGGATTACTTCAACTAATGGTATCTTCTAACTTATCTGTATATACTGTCAATCCCAAGCTATATAGATCTGGCAGATTTCTTAGTCTTTAAGGCTTCCAAGTGATTCTAAGTCTCAGTGTGATTCTATCACTGAGATATTTTGGACCGTAAGTAACAGAAAACCCCAACTCAAACTGGCTTTAAAATGAGGAAATTTTTAATAATGATGGCAATGATAACAGCAAACAGTTTACTGAATTGTTATATATATGCATGCACTGTGCAAATATTTTATATGAATTAACTCCTTTAACGTTCCCAAAACCCAGTGAGATAGGTACTATTAATTATTATTCTCACTACAGATGGAAAAAAGATGAGGCATACAGAGAGAAAGACATGTCTAAGACTATATACATGTAATAAGAGCAGAGCCAGGTTTTCAACACAGATGTTCAGCTCCAAAGCTTGAGAGTTTAAATATTATGCCCCACTGCTTCCTGTAGGACCAGAAATCTATAGGTTAGGTGGGATCTAGGCACATTATGATCTTGAGCACAGTGATACCATCTCTCCGCCTTGCCTTGCCTAATGTTGGCTTGACAAAGGCAGGTTTCCCATACAGTTGCAGAATTGCCAGTGTGAGGGCTAAACGTGCTTTCGTTTATGCCCAGCCAGAGAGATAGGGGGACAGATGAGGTGATTGTCCCTTAGATTTTGGAAAAGTAAGACCTTCCTGTTTATCTGGTTGTGTCAACTTTGGTTGTGTGCCTACCTCTGGACAAATAACTATCACCAGAGAAATGTCAGGATCCCATTTAGAAGTACAGATAGGATGCATTCCAGAAAAAAATCAGGTTGCTGTTATGAAGAAAAGGAGACACTTTAGTTAAATTAATATATTGAAGCTTTTATGAATGTCATACTAGTTTAAAGAACAATTCATTTTTCTCCATCATACTTCATTAATTGATGTTTGAGAAGGAAAAAAATGTCTGTAACATCTAATTCATTCATTTATTCAACAAATGTTGATTTTTTTACTTTTATATATTCTAGGGTGTTCCTGGGCTCCGGGGAAAGAGGGGTCTTAAGGGAAGACAGGTAATTCAACTTTGTTTTCTGAGGTTCAGTTCAGAGAAATATAATCTAATTATGTGCATATTTCTCACCTATACAAATATAATTGTAGTTGTCCTTGTTGTCCACAACTATCTCATGTAACAGAATTTAATTTTTGCTAACTTGTCTATCAATTAATACCTGAGATTTTGAAGGAAATTTTAGATTAAAAAATAATGAAATTTAATGTTCCTAACCCATTTAATAGACCAGTAGAAAGGACCTTTATCCCTATGACAAAGAACTAAAATGTCACAGAAAATACCTAAACAGTTTAAAACACTAATGATAGCACTATTCACCCTCCTGTTTTACACGTTTTCAAAATTCCTGCTTCAGGTATTAGCTCAGAGACTAGTTCCCTACTGCTTCCTCTATTTTCAGGTTTAAGAAGATGAAGGGAAGTGAATTTTGCCAGATAAAATAATAATTTCAGAGATGAGAGGAAATTTTTTTTCTCAAATTTTTATTTTATTTTTTATAAACATATAATATATTTTTATCCCCAGGGGTACAGGTCTGTGAATCGCCAGGTTTACACACTTCACAGCACTCACCATAGCCATACCCTCCCCAATGTCCATAACCCCACCCCCCCTCACCCAACCCCCCTCCCCCCATCAACCCTCAGTTTGTTTTGTGAGATTAAGAGTCACTTACGGTTTGTCTCCCTCCCAATCCCATCTTGTTTCATTTACTCTATGAGAGGAAATTTTGACATCATCCAATACCCCCATCATTCAGCAAATGAGAAAACTGTGGTTCAGGGAATCATCCTCATGTCCTCTTCACATAACCCTAGCCACCTCCTTGTCACTTGTGTTGTTTTGACAGCGATCCACAGGTCTTTATTAGGATAACGCTTTTTGTGCTCACACGGTTTTCTAGTCTATGAGGAAGGAAATTGAGTTTTTCATATCAGCTTTTCTAAAATTTTGGTGTAAGTAAAACCTTGATGATAATTATAATAGGTTACAAACCTCACCAGAATATTCATATCCTTTTAAAGCATTTTATTCTTGTGCTTTGCAGGATTTCTTGAAGGTAGATTAGAATAGGTATGAATGTCACCATTATATAGGTGGGGGAGAATGAGGCTCAGTGATGTTTAGAGACTTGCTCAGAATCCCATAGAAAATGGTGGTAAAATCAAGAATTGATCTTGGCTCCTCTGAGTATAAATTCAGGAGTCTTTTTTAACTCTCTCAGTATTTGTGCTCTCTGCTACTCACACAGCTTACAAGAGCATGATTAATGTTTTCATGATGTTTGGCCAAAATATGATATAATTATTTCTAAGTTTCACTTTAAAAATTCCAGTTTACTGGGGCACCTGGGTGGCTCAGTGGGTTAAAGCCTCTGCCTTCAGCTCAGGTCATGGTCCTAGGGTCCTGGGATCCAGCCCTGCAATGGGCTCTCTGCTTGGCAGGGACCCTGCCTCCTCTCTCTCTGCCTACTTGTGACCTCTGTCTGTTAAATAAAAATAAATAAAATCTAAAAAAAAAAAAAAAATTCAGTTTACTAATATAAACTTACCAAACTGTCAAGAAATTAAAAATAAGCCAACCGTTTTGTTTTCTTACATTTATATTCAACTTTAAAGCTAATCTTTTAGCATTTCTAGCATCGCCATCTGCATTTTTAGTTCTTAAGCACTCTGATAAATATTTTATATGCCATCTCATTTAATTACACTCTCTTATACTGCAAAATGTTATGCTACTTCCTTTTGTTTAAGCCCTCATACACACACCCCAACAAAAATGCCTCTCTTATTACCATATACAAATATCTAATCTAAATATGCGATGTGGGTTGTCTCAAAATTGACAATAGGTGAAATTTATCTTCTTTATTTTTATATTCTCCATTCTTTGTCTTTTTTCCCCCAGTCCTCCTCCTTTCAAAGTATGATGTCAGTAAAAGAATGAATAAAGTTACTTATGGTATTATATAAATTATTTCTAATGCTTCAACTGTTACGTTACCCATTAGTAATTATATTTTAAGCGTAGTTTAAGACAAAAATAAGTAATCTGCAATGGTGGAATCTTAGGCATTGTTGAAAAAATAGAGTATTTTCCCAAAGCTCCCGTGATACATCACTTATATAGCTACACAGCTATCACTTATGTAGCCATATTAATGTGGCTGTTTTATATAGATACTAACTTTATCTTGGAAATGTATAGGTAATTTCCAGTTTCCTGCTCCATCATGAACCCCAATTATCCATGGAAATTTATAGATAACATCTGGTTTTTTACTCCCCAGAGAATTATAAAATTATCCAACAGATGCTATTGAATTCAAAAGAGGAGTTCAAGAAAACTGTAGAAAAATAATGAATGAATGATTACTGGGTTGATTACACTGTTCTTTACATTACAAAATTTGTAAAGTTTTATTGCTTTAAAAACATATGCCCTTCTCACAGATTTAGATCCTTAGGAAAATTATATTTGAAAAACATATGTATCTCATTTTCCTAAATAGTGTTTATAGTAGAAAATCTGTCTGGTACTGTACTATGTCATGTATGCTATATGTACTTTTGTTTTTAACCACAAAATGATTTGGCATGTTTATATGGAAATCACAGTACTTAAAGTTAGATACGGTTACAGCCACAAGTCAAAAAGCCAAGGCTGACCTCAGACACTGTTCTTAGAATAGTATCTTATGTATAAATGCTCCTCTGTGTTCTGTTAATTATAAGTAAAATCATCTTCAAATAGCTTTGACATTAAGGGCAAAAGTGCTAGCATGAGATATTATATATTCTGGGACACTTGTATTTCAATTTAGATGATTAAAATTCCATGAGAAGAATGATTACTATTTACCGTTTTAATAACAGTAAAAGGAAAATATCTTTGATGAGGTACACACTCTCTGATGTAGAAAATATTAGGTGTGTGGAATACAAATTTGACCATTTTGGGGGGCAACTTATTCAATTATGCTTAGTATTTGTTATTATGTATGACGTAGATATTCAAATACAGAGCCAGAACTAAGGCATGCCAATCTACCATAAAGAGGAAGGAAACCTATATATCTGAAAGAATATAACAGAAACCGAGGAAATACTGAAATCTAAAAGTACTTGTATCTAAGAAACTTTCGGCTCTGCATATGTCAAAGACAGTTACTTCCAATTTTCTTTCTTTTTTTTTTTTTAATAAATTTGTGATTTTCTTTTTTTTTTTTTAAGATTATTTATTTATTTATTTGACAGACAGAGATCACAGGTAGGCAGAGAGGCAGGCAGAGAGAGGGGAGGGGGGGAAGCAGGCTCCCTGCTGAGCAGAGAGCCTGATGTGGGGCTTGATCCCAGGACCCTGGGATCATGACCCGACCTGAAGGCAGAGGCTTTAACCCACTGAGCCACCCAGGTGCCCCAGTTACTTCAATTTTAAGCTAACTTCAAAGTCATTTAGAAGTGTGGGTTCATGCTTTATTAGGCTGCTGCTATGTAGATCCCATGTTATTTCATTTACTATCATTAGTATGAAAGTCATCAGATGTACTTTCTTATAATCATCACTCCCCTTTAATTAATCTGATTATTCTTTCTGTATGTTAAATTAGCTCATTTCCTCAAATTTTAGGTAGGTAGAAGTATGCAGTCTTGAGAACATAGACTACGATTTAGTTTGAAGTTCTTATAATGTAATTTATAGAAAACCAGTAATTCTTTTTAGGTAACTCCTTAAGTTTTACATGTGTTTTTTTTTGTCAAGTCTCTGAAATTAAGGACAGAAGCTGGTAAAGTACTTCACTTTCTGTATTATGTATGATATGAAACATTTTGACAGTCAAAATAGACATAGAAAAACCTCAAAAATCCAAGTTCAAGCCTTTCTAAATATTAATCAAGATGAGTCTCTTTGCATTATTGAGTTGGTTTTTAACCTGTGTACTAAAGCTGTGTTTGATATGAAGTTTACCAAAATATTAATATATACGTCTCTTCCTTCTGTATAGACATCATATACTATGTCCATATAGTACAGAAAGATAGAGGAGTAGTAAAAATCCTGTCCAAAATTGTTCAGTGAGTTAATAACATTACTAAGCTTAGGCTCTGAAGATTGTTGCTATCAATCATGCATTCCTACTGCTGGCCAGATCATCACTTATTTTTGTGAATAAACACTAAGCATGGAATTAAGTTGTTGTGAACCAACTTCCTTAGTGATTTTTTTATTTTTTTAAATAAAATGATAGACTTACAAGAAAGGGATATCTTCTCTTAAATAGTATAAGTATTGTATGAACTCTTTTGAAAATGGAAACATTTCAGAATAGCATATTATTTTGGTTAAGAGTTATTCAGTATTTAGCCTCATACTGCTATTTTTAAATTTAATGTTTGGGTTAAAATTATTTCATTTTAAATTTTACTTCCCAGGAAACTTTTCCCCAAAATAAGATAATTGTATTTATTCAGTGTTTATTGATTGATTTGATATTTATAACACAATGTGTTTTTATTTTTTCAAACCGGAAAAGTAGGAAAATTGGTTTTGTTGGAAACTTGGTGTATTTTAGGATCAGAGTATATAAAAGTAGTTATATTAACAAATTTTTATGTTCTTTGGCCTTATGTTGTTGACATTTGAGAAGTTTTTTTCTTCTCTCAACTATAAGCTATTTTATTTCAAGATGTAAGATAAGGTATTTACTAATAATCATTACAATTATTTTTAAAGACCTCATGTAATAAGTTATATATTAGTCAATATTTGTGTACTCATACTTTTAGGTATTGAGATATTATAGTTCTTACCTCTTTCTTTCCTCCCCTCTTTCACTCCCTACATATTACAATTGGATCAAATTTCTTACTTTCAGTTAATATTAGAGGGTAGCCATGAGGGTCTAAGTGTTATTCATTCATGCTTTTTGCTGTCTCTGGATATAGTTTGAATTTATCTCAAGTTCTTTCTGAGGAACTGATAAAAACAAGGTGGTAG